TAGCAGTTTTGAGTCACCTAACGCCGGCTGTTTGCCGGAGGGCGAGTTGAAGAGGATATTCAGTTACTGAGGATTACAACTGAGAAAACACAACCTTTGATGAGGGATCGCAACGAGCGGAACCAAACGCTGAGTGAAAAATGTGAACGGACGAGATAATTCTGAGACGATCTCCTAATTATTCGATGACTTCCTCTCGTAGTCATTGGGGCAACCACTCCAAAATAAGTGGGAAAAGGAAATGCAAACTGAATCATTGTTTTGTAAAGGGCAGTCTTATCTTAAAAGCCGACAGCCTCTTTGGGGATATAAGACCGATTAGAGGAATATTTCGAAGGATAGCATGCTTGGGAGCAAAGAAGGGAGAGCATTTGCAGGAAACAGGAGCAGGATGAAGAATTATCAAGGAAGAATTACGAATGGTGTACAAGCAACTGACGGGAGTAGAACCTGAAATCTAAGGAGGAGTTGGGCCATTGCCAATGAGAAAACAAAGCCAGAAGGCGGCTTTCAGTCTACGAACCTGCAGGAAGTTTGGGTTGGCTAACTGGCATGAAGAATGAAATATTTTGATGTAATTCATGCAAGACTTTTCTGGTCAAAAGCCTTTAAACATTTTCAACCTCAGAACGGAAGAAGAGAAAGGGAAGAAGATACGGAAATACTCGTTAGTGGGAAGGGCAATCACACAGTAACGTCCCAATGTAATATCAGGAAGGTGAAAATAGTGAGAAATGGAGCAATAAATCTGGACAATCCTGACCGTAGCTCTGCAAGCGATGAGAGCCCAAGGTTATTAGGCTTACATTAATCTAATTCCTTGATAGTCCAACATTCTGCCATTGGAGTGTCTTAAAGATCACGGGAAGGAAGCGCTCAAGGAAATAATTCTTTTCTTTACCGATGGATACGTGCGCGCAATATCAGAGCTCAGGCGGCGTTATGAATGTTCACTGACCGGGTCCCCTGCGGGTGATAATGCGAGCCATAGCTCCTTATATTTGATCGTCGGAATGTCTGGTTTTGGTGGACGCATTGCCCTGTATCTTGTGATAAATGTTCGATTTTCAATGATAATGTTTTTTACTCTAAAGCATACTGAATTTTCTGAAATATAGGTTCTTCTAGGTAAACGTATCCAAAACAATTTCGAAACGCGCGATTAGGATTAAATTAATAAATTTGCCTGTCGTTTTAGACGGTCCTTTAGGTTAAATGAGCGTACGAAGGCAGTGAACCTGCAGAGGTTCGATATTCGTAAACGAGTAGATTCTCAAGTTAGAAGCCACGAAGGCTAAGTTAGCAAGACAACCTTCACCGTAACAAAGGATCGTATAGACGACACAGAAGGCAACTGCACCAAGGATAGTATAAGGCCAGGAGTTGATGGCTGCACTGTGACGAGATGCAGAGATAGGTAGAATTTACTGGCTAGATTAATTCACTGAGCCCCAAGGTGACGATCGGGCTGCTCGCTACTGAAGATAAACCCAATTTTGGGCACGCTCCTCTTATCTGCGACCTTATTCCCCAACGAGGAGAATCTGGGAAAGTCGGAAGTAGAGCGCAGAAGGAGATGGCGGAATCGTGCTTCTTCATCGGCCTGCCAGCCATCTGAATGAGCCTGACGGAATAGAGAGTGCCAAAAGCGCATGTCTAAATGTGCTGTTCTTCTCTTGAAAAATTATTCTTCTTCGTCATGTAACTAACTTAAGGATTTTGAATAAGGAAGACTGGAGCGCGTAGATTTCTGATTGCCGACGTGAAATAGTCGACATCAAGAAGGTACTCAAACCAAAAGTCAGGAAATCAGACCTGGTAGGACAACCTGTACAGGAGCGAGAGAACTTACTAGCGGCTTACGAGGTAATGCTAAAAGTTGTTCTTTCAAGCCGGCAATCAGTCTCTGATGTTGCTAGTCCGAGATCGAGGTGTATGGGTGCGTCCAAGCTTTGACCGACTGCGGTCAAACGTCTAGGTCAAAAATACCGATCCGCGTCATCATGTTAGTTAATTGGGGGCTAGTTCACACTCGTTGCTGGCTGTCAACTGGAAAGTTGGGTCCGGTCGCCTTCGCTATGACGAGTAAACCGCCACACGCCGTCGAGCGCGTTGTCAACGCAAGACCATCTATATGTTTCCGAGCGTTCTTACTCATAAATGTTCTTTTCAGTTGCCTATCCTAGAGTTCAGCTAGTTGACATATCTCATTGGGACACTTCAGTCGCTCGCTGATCTGTCAATCGCGGCACGGTCTCGGCACACTCATGTCTCGCGCTGGTCTCAAGTGAGCCGTGCATGTGAGGAATGTGAGACAGACGGAAGTTTTGTAGACACTAAAGTCGTTTGGTAAAGTCATCTTGCTATGATGTGCGGACAAAAACACAAAGTCGAGTGTATTCATTCGGTGCAAGGTGAACTTGCTGAAAAAGTAAAGGTCCTAAAGAACCTTAGTTAATCAATGACAAGCGGCAGCATAGATTCAAATTATAAACCACTAGTATTTAAAACTTAGAATTTTAAAGCTCAAATTAGGTTCTAATGCAACTCATTTTAAACAGCCACCGAATATGACATAATGTCTCAAAGCGTTAAAGTCTGCCGAAATTCTCAGTCTGTTCAAAATGACTAATTGCCCATGAGAAGGTATTATTAGCTTCGGCAGAGAGAGATATCCTCCCCTCACCAGATGAATAACAGGTCTACAGTGTTTGAATTCGAATATGACACTTCGAAATTGTTATGGAGTTCAAAGAGTTGCTTCATCCTGTAAATGCGCACATACTTGATACACTACACTACATGTGAGTCACGGAGGTAAATCAAGTCTCGGCAGTCTTTATGGATGGTTTTTTAGTTTCCCGGGATGTCCGTCAAGATAGCCCAGGGATATGTGGCTGAATTGTATGCCAGGTCTAATTTCATTCCCACTACCATTTATCTCTAGAGGGCCACAATGCAAAGACCTGTCACATTAAAAAGGTTAGTTAGATTATGGCCCGCATGTCTTGGCTAAGGAATTGTAACTTTTGAAAACATTAATACATCGCTACTTGACTAAGTATCCGATAAAGGATTGAACTTTAGGTGAGATGTAGACGGAAGTATCCTCTTTTTCTTTCAAGAGGCTTTATCAATCAAATTTAGATCTCATCACGAGTTTTCATAAACAATTTCCACCATACTCTTTGCAATAATTTGCCTTTTGGTGGAAAAGGAGTGGCTTACCGAGAATACCGAACGATCTCAGTATAGAAGGTCCTACAACAATATCCCAAAGTTGCATCTTCACGAATTGGCGGACTTTATTCCTTGGAACCTAACACCTAAAATTCGCGTGACATTCAGTTTCTCATAAAAAATGCATTTGCAAGAGTTCACCTCTTCAGAGGAGATGCGGACGGACACAAGGTACTGGACAGTAGACGTACGTGGTCGTACAGTACCCTCACTACCTTACGGCATGTACTTTATAGTACACTATCGTAGGCACTTACTTCTACCCGTACAATTTTAAGAGTAATCTAAAGTGCAACATAAATTTTTAAATGAGCTTGAAGTGTTCACAGGCCTTTGTTTGTTGGTCGTCCGAAATTTTCGCATTGTAAAAATTCGCGGGGAGTCTAGAAACGTACTCCCCGTGAAATTCGGGGTATTACTGTAATTTGAGATTTTCCTCGTTTGTAATGATTACTTGATTGAGGTTTAGTAACACGCAGACTCACTAAACTACTAATATCATCTACAACTGAATTTTCTCGAGTTTCGGTCCTGCATGTTCGGTGGAAAATATTCTATTAAGTATCTATACTACTGATAACATTTTAGTACCGTGTTTAGTTAAAGTGAAATATTGGATGTAACGTTTACAACAAGGTTTTCAAAGATATTGCCGATTACCCTTAAAATATACCGATCTAATCGACCGTCGATTTCGACGATGTCCACCGTGTGCCCCACAGCTCCAGCAGCGGTGGTAGCAGGGACGGTGGCTTTCGTAGGGGTTTATAAAGCCAGTAGACTTGCGCTGCATCTACCTACACTCTCTCCTCCTCCCCCGCCTAAGCCCGGTGTCAAGACAGAGTCAAGAAAACCGGAGACGAGGGAGGCCGCAGATGGATGGCTCGGACGGATCCTCGCCTTGGCGCTCTACTACGCACCCCCTGGTCCACACACCAATGACAAGGATTTCAACCAACACAGCAGAGATTGGAGGTTGGCACGACCGAAGCCGCACATAGGCGTACCGCCAACGCCTGGCTCGGATCTTACACTGTGGTGGGAGTGCCATAAAGGCCACATTAAAAAGGAGCCATTGCAGCCTGACTCTCAGACCGCCACCAGTCAAGGAGGAGGTCCAAGTTACCCCGTCAGTTGGCAACCTTCCAAGCCACGGCTTTTAGCGCACCGTGATAGCTTCAAGCGCGTCAGGTTGTTTATAGTGAGGAGAAAGTGCGTTGAATCGTCGACCTCACTCTCCCCTTCCACTCCCACACCCCCGCCACTGTCCGAGCCGGTCAGCAGACTGGAGCAAGGAATGGGCGCGGTGGCTGGTACGGTCGACTGACCTGCGTGCGCCACTTGCACGACCTGGCCCCCAGACACACAAATACCAGGATTTCACACAACGGGGGTTGAACGGCGTGTCTCTCACTTGCGTGAGAGGGCCGTGGAAGGTGCTGCTCCAGCCCGTCCCCAGCCCACCAGTCCGCCACTCCACACAACAAACACATACAACGGGACGGACTGCGTGGACCGAGTGGGGGCGTCAATCAGCAACCTTCCTATCCACGACGCTTGGCGTGTTGGGATAGTCTCAGACTTAAGTCACCCGTGCAGCAGAAGTCGCACGGGGACCGAGTCGAGGTGCACACTTTCCACTTGCGTGAGAGGTGGCAGTTGGGTGCCTGCGGTGGGTGAGTGTTGATGTGTGGTGGGGTGGTGGTTGTGGAGGAGGCAGGGGCTGGAGGTTGTTGTGGTGTGGTGTAGCCGGCGGTTGTCTACCGCAGGTCGTCATGGATGCGCATGTGGCCGAATAGGCCCATGCGATGCCTGAAAGTGCGAGGGCAGTGTGGGCAGTTGAGACGAGAGCGGTGGATATAGGTTGCTGCTCCAGGCACTGGAACGACAGTCTCTGTGCGATGGATTCGCAAGTGACCGACCAGGCCGATGTGTGAGGTGAAGGTGCGGTCGCAGTGAGGGCAGGTATTGTCCTGATCCTCATCACTGGAGTTGGAGTCAGCGGGGGTGGTGTCGGTTGTTGTGTAAGGGTTGGTGATGTGCGTGACGCCCGCCTGAGCGGCCGTCGTTGGGGCAGTGGAGGAGGAGGAGGAGCGGGAGGAGGATGGAGGTGGTGGTTCGGAAGAAGAGGCAGAGTTAGTTGGCGGCGGAGAGGACGGGGAAGATGCGGATGGAGAGACGATGGTTGGTGCTGTCCGAGAGGTATAGTTGATCCGAAGGTGTCCAATTAGTCCAATTCGTGCCCGGAATGTCCATTGACATCGAGGACACGTTGGTAGTGGTTGTGCATCGGCGTTATGTACTGGGCGCAGCTGTGATTTGCGTGCTTCGCGTTTCGCTTTGGCGGCGGCGATGCGGTTGGCTTCGTAGATCCCAGCACCTGTTTTCACTGTCCTCCTGCAGGTCGTTCGATCGAAGACAAGCTCCTCCCAGTTGGTCGGCTTAATTTGCAGACGCTTCAGGGAGGACTTCAGGGTATCCTTATATCGGCGAATTTGGCCTCCTTGGCGGCGAGAGTCCGTAGCGACGTCTCCGTAAAAGAGTCGTTTGGGTAGTCGCTCGTCGTCCATGCGCACCAGGTGGCCGCTCCAGCGCAGCTGCTTTTGTCTCAGCATGGCGTAGATACTAAGGATGCCTGCCCGTTTCAGCACATCGGTGTCGGAAATTCGGTCCTGCCAGTTCAGCCTCAGGATGCGACGAAGAAAACTGGGATGGGAGTGGTTCAGTCGACGTGCCTGCCTTGTGTACACCGCCCAAGTCTCCGCTCCGTACAGCAGCGTCGGCAGGATGATGGCCTTGTAAATCTTCAGCTTCGGGCTCATTTGGAGATCATGACGATTCCAAATTGGGCTTTGGAGGCGACCGAAGGCCTGGCTGGCTTTCGAGATCCTGCGGGCGACTTCGTCATTGATTTTGGTGTTACGACAGAGGGTGCTGCCCAGGTACGGGAAGTTCTCCACCACTTGCTGTTGGGTTCCGTTTACACTGATTTTGGGCGCGTTGGGAGGAGTGGCTGTGTTGGATGGTGATTGGTGCATGACCAACGTCTTCTGCGTGTTGACGATCAGACCGAAGTTCTCGCAGGCGGCGGATAACAGGTCCATGCTGCGTTGCATCTCCTCTTCCGAGGTGGTGTTCAGGGCGCAGTCGTCGGCGAAAAGAAGCTCGTGAAGGGTGGTTGCGGATATGCGCGATTGGAAGTACATCCGTCGTTGATTCAGGAGGTCACCATCCGTCCTGTAGGCCATGCGGATTCCGAGGCGTTCGTCGCAGTAGGCGTCAATCAGCATGGAAGAGAACATAAGACTGAAGAGGGTTGGCGTCAGCACGCATCCCTGCTTCACTCCATTGGTCATTGCGAATGCCTCTGAGACAGCTCCGTTGTCCGTAACTCGCGCCATCATACCGTCGTGCAACTGACGCACCATCTGGATGAATCGCTCCGGACAGCCGAATTTCTGCAGGATCTTCCACAGTCATTCACGATTCACCGTGTCGAAGGCTTTCGTCAGATCCACGAAGGTAGAGTACAGGTGGGCCCGCATCTCCTGGCACTTCTCCTGAAGTTGACGGGCGGCGAAGATCGTATCCGTGGTCCCGCGATAACGACGGAAGCCGCATTGGCTTTCCGGCAGAAGGCCCGGTTCCAAATGATTATTCAGACGATTGAGCAGGATGCGAGCGAAGATCTTCCCGGAGATGTTCAACAAGGAGATGCTACGGTAACTGTCGCAGACCTGGCGGTTCCCTTTACGCTTGTAGAGATGCACAATGGTTGCGTCCTTGAAATCCTGCGGGACTTCACCTTGACGCCGCATCTCCGGACAGAGCGCAGCCAGGTGATCCAGTAGTTGGGGATCGCCGTGATTGTAGACCTCAGCAGGGATTGCGTCCGATCCGGGTGCTTTCCCATTGGAGAGCTGCTGCACGACCCTGATAGCTTCCTGGAGAGATGGCGGGAGATCGAGGCCCATGTTTGTCTCCACTTGCGGCAGGTGCCACTGACGCGACCGAGGATGTCTCCAGGTGGGCTTATCTCGCTCCGGCAGACAGAAGAAGGGTGTTCTGCGCAGGTGCGGAGAAGCATTGTCGTTTTAGCCGCGGAGACTATGCGGACCCAGCACTCATCTCCAGGCAGCATGGTCTGTGCCGACGCGGGCGTTGAAGTCACCAAGGACAATCAACTTGTCCGCCTTCGACACAGTCGCCAAGAGGGCGTGCAGGTCCTCGTAGAATTTGTCTCTTGCGGCCCCGGAGCTGGTCATCGGCGGAGCGTAGGCGCCGATGATGGTGGCGAATCTGCCCCCCGCCCCCCGCCGGAGAGGCAGACGGAAGCTCATCAGGCGATCGTTGATGTCCTGCGGCAAACAGGGCAGTCGTCCAACGATGTCGTTCCGGATGGCGAAGGCGACACCCGCGTCCCATCGCTCTGCCCAGGGACGACCGTTCCAGAAGAAGGTGCAGCCGGCACCCACCTCCTCCAGTTGGACTTGTTCGGAGAATCGAGTCTCGCTGAGTGCGGCGATGTCCCCCTTGTAGCGCGCCAGTTCCCGGGCCACTAGCGCTCTTCTGCGTTCCGGTCGGTTGCTCCTCGGATTGTCTAAAAGGGAACGAACATTCCAGGCTGCCAGAGTGAGCGTTCCTACCCTGCCAGTTTGGCGATTGCGGCGGCGAAAATGAGAAGGAGGGGAAGAAGGAGAATAGGCAGGACGAGGCAGAGAGAGGTTGTTGTTGTTGTTGTTGTTTCGGTTTTGGCTGTTTCGACCGTGTATATTTTGTCTGCGACCACGGCCAGCCTACAGACAGCGTAGTTCCCAGCAATTTTTAGGGCACCTTTTCTAGCCACCTCCTCCTCGCGAGGGCAGGCAGCGCAGCCCCTAAATAGGGTTGTCCGGTTATCCCAGACGGCTGCCGGACTCCACTATGGGCCACGACTTTTTGCTAGTGAGAGAACGACCCGAGTTAGCCTAGGGCCTAGGTGGTGGTGGGTGAAGTTAAGTGTGAGAGAGCATACGCACTACAGAACGCTATGGGACTTACAGCTAGAATGGATAAGCAGACACAGTCATCAGCCAGAGACAGAAGTAAGACGGCATCAATCAAAGTCAAGCACAGTAACACCTAGCTATTAGCAGAGAGATGCATGGACTGCCAGACAGACAGACAAACAGTCGCAGTAGGCAACAAGAGCGGCAGACAGCACAGGAATTCAACAGGCAAATAAGAAGGCAAGTGAGACAAGTAAGGAGTAGCATCATTTGAAGTCAAGCGCGGTAACGTCTAACTATTAGCAGAGAGATGTACAGATTAACAGATACAGAGCAGGCAACAAGATCAGCATACTGCACGGAATTTAAACAAAGTAAGGAAGGAGAGCAGAGCGAATTTCACTTACCTGGCGGCCTCCTGCGATGGTCCAGGCAGAGCCTCGTCTTGACGATGTCGACGCGATGATCCGTCCGGCCAGCGGAGACCACAGTACCGTGTGTGGAGGAGCACGAACGGATACCCTCGCCTGGTTTAGCCCGCCGGTCGAGGCGGTTGCGCGGGGTGTGGCCGCAGAGCAGAGCCCAGCTACGTGGAGCCACGGGTGAGAGTTGGGTGCCAGCAAACGGACGCTAGGCTTAGTCTCACCTGCAAGCAAGTGAGCGACCACTACGAACATCACGTGAACCCACCGATGGACACCCCTACACCCCATAGTGACGTATACTGACCTACTGTCGAGCATACCTTCATGCCCTGATAACTATAGGTTCGGATATGCAGTGGTTATCCCCAGACCCATAGACTAACCCGAGTATTGAAGCCACATATCCGTTCTTCTCAAAAGGCCTGACTACTTTAGATTCGCTTAATCCACGTCACAGCTGTACTTAAGTACAATGAATTCATTCTAGAGATAGTCGGCCATGGACGACCCGCTATATTAGGCGTCATTCAGCATGAGGAACATGTCGTTGATATCTCCTTTGAAAAGGCGGGTCAATAAGGAACGGTCAAAAACACAGCAGACAAGAAAAATGGGCTGCTACCTTAAACGATTGTCTCAGAGGCCTTATAAAAGCCGGCCCACCCATTCCAAAGAATACTTCAATTTTGTTTGTAGACATAAAAACAATGGGGGGATTATAATTATCCCGAGGCGAGTACTGTCATTACACAAAAATCGAGGAAAAACAGCTTCCGTAACGTAGCAACAAGCAGGACCTTTTCGAAGAACCGTTCCAATGCGAACTTCAGATATTACCGCGATAGTACTTTTTGCAAAAAATATAGTAATTTCACCGACTAAAAAAATCACAACACAAATATTCGCGCCTACACACTGTTGCACCACTGGGGTCTACCACGTGGTTCATAAGCACTTAATCGAACCGAAGTTCATCCGTGCTTCACTGCCTGCTATTCTTCTTCGCTGCAGATGGGGTATTTATTTACTCAGACTGTCGTCTCCTTCCTGCTATCGTAACTTGGCCGACTGCGGCCTGGTAGATGGTTGTCTGTTCCTGTGGGGGTGGTAGTGGTCTCGAAGTCATGGCAGGTCTCTGAGTGAGGGGGAGGGAAAGTGAGAGGAGGCGGAAAAACTACGACACCCTATGCTGGAGGAGGAGGGTGGATGGTGGATCAGTTAAACCGCGGTCGTTGATGCGTGATTAGGACAGGGGTCAGTCAGTCGTGAACGTAGACCCTCGTAATGGGCATCCAGGCCAACATGGCGGTTGATACTACCCGCCTTAGAGTACCAAGCCTCGAGAAATTCCCTCACTTGATTTGTGTTAGCCATGCTGACGACCTCAGTACCATCACAATTAAATCGGTAGTCGTACTCGAGTGCATGGGCAAAGACGAGGGACTGAGGGTCTCGCCGACGGATAGCTAGTTTGTGCTCATTGATACAGGTGCCCAGGCGTCCACCCATATGACCAACACGGAAACAACCTCAATAAACCGTTGTGTCGCCCTCCCGACAGCATACCAAGCCCTCCGGACGCAGCTCAACGAACTAAAGAGCAAGCGCGAGGTCAGATCGGGCGTGGATCCAAACACGGGAGAATCTACGACGGACCTACACGTAGCCACACCGCAAAATCGGGCCCGAAGAAGGCGCAGTCATCAATACTGTTGCCTCAACTACTACTCCGGCAGACGGGGAGAAACGCGGTCAGAGGGATGCAATCAAGACTAGCAACCCAGCACGACAATTAAGGTCAACGCAAATGCGGACGATGGCCACCAACGTTCAAATGCCGCCCCCGACGAGAGACAGGCAGATTGATAGCAGTCACCCTCCCCCCCGCTCTGCCCCGGCGACTACAGAGACGATCCCTGTGCGTATGCGGGCCATTAGCGGCAAAGACGATTAACCACCCCCTCCCCCTATAATTACCACCGTGTTAGCATGACTGATATCTATCCCCCTCCTATAAGTACTGTGTGATGCCGTACGATACTCACCTCCGACGATGAAAGCTTGTCTGCTTTTGAAACGTCAGGACAATACAATCATGGTTCCCGAGATCGCGTCTTCTTCTCATTTATGTCCGGGGACTCGAATCTTCGCTTCTATTACATATATATATATATATAAAGAAAATAATTTCAGAAATTATTCAGCAGGACACAAAATTAAGTCTAAAATTATTCACTTGATAATTATCTGGAGTTCATTTACCAGAAACCGAATAGGGAACGCTCGGGGAACCACTGAGGAGCCGAACCCTTCCTAGCTGTGTCACGCATTGGCAGAATAGCGGCAAAACACGTATTTGGGCTTTAAGTTAATACCTATGTCGGGAGTATGGTATAATACGTTTGTCATATATATGAGAAGAAGAGGCGCTCTCGGGAACCATGGTTGTAGTGTCCTGACGTTTCAAAAGCAGACAAGCTTTCATCGTCGGATGTGAGTATCGTACGGCGTCACAGAGTATTTATGAGGGAGGGGATAGATGACAGTTATGTTCACATGGTATTAAATATACGAGGGGAGTAGTTAATCAGCTTTGGCGCTAATTGCCCGCATACGCACAGGGATCGTCTCTGTAGTTGCCAGGGCAGAACGGGAGGGAGGGTGACTGCTGTCAATCTGCCTGTCTCTCGTCGGGGGGCGGCATTTGAACGTTGGTGGCCATCGCCCGCATTCGCGTTGACCTTAGTTGCCGTCCTGGGTTTCTAGTCTTGATTGCATCCCTTTGACCGCGTTCTACCCGTCTGCCGGAGTAGTAGTTGAGGCAACAGTATTGATGACTGCGCCTTCGTCGGGCCTGATTTGCGGTGTGGCTACGTGCAGGTCCGTCGTAGATTCTCCCGTGTTTGGATTCACGTCTGGCCTGACTTCGCGCTTGCCCTTTTGTTCGTTCAGCTGCGTCCGGAGGGCTTGGTAGGCTGCTGGAAGGGCAAAACAACGGTTTATTGAGGTAGTCTCCTTTCGCCTGGCCTCGATTGCTTCCCTGGCCACGCGGTCGTTAAGTTGATCCAGAACTTTGGCGTTCTGGAAGGCAAAAGTGTGCCCAGAGTCCGCGCAGTGTTCCACCACCAGAGATAAAGGGTCCATCTTCCTCATCGCCGGCATGTGTTCGTTAACACGAGTTTGTAGCCGTTTGCCTGTCTCTCCGACGTAGTTAGCTTCACGAGGGTTTCACTGGACCCGGTAAATGGCATTTGTCGTCTCACCTCGTGGCAGGGGGGCCTTTGGTCTCATAAATAAATGTCGAATGGTTGAGTCTGGTCGATGAACGATTACGATCCCCAACGGTCTTAGGAGGCGGGAAACTGCCTCAGAGACGCCGTCGATGTATGACAGTGCACGCCAGATTTTCGGTTGTTCTGTCACACCATTTTGGCCTGATTTAGACTGCCTGTTGTTATCGATGAAGCTGCGGGAGTATCCGTTGGCCATGAAAAGGCGCTGAAGGTAGCGGAGGTCTGTCCTTCTGTCATCTGTTCTCTGCAGTGTGTTTCTCTCCTACTGTAGGCAGTTCGCACACAGCTGCGTTTGTGAAATGACGGGTGTTTACTGTGATAGCGCAGGACGTGGCGTGTGTTGGTGGTCCCCCTATACACCGTCGTCTTTACGTGCCCATTGGTCCATAAACGGCAGCTGGTTGTTGTTTTCCGTTTCCATCGTGAATTGCATGTCCGGTAAAACGGAATACAGGAGACTGTGAAATTCCTCGATCATTTCTGGTTTGATGGTGACGAAGGTGTCCTCGACGTACCGACTCCAAAACTTTGGTCTGTAAGTTGTGAAAATCAGGCTCTATAGTTTTTGCGGAACTGCCTCAGCAATGAAACCGGAGAGAGGCGATCCCATCGGCTTCCTTCTTATCTGTTTGTACATGGTCCCTTTAATGGTGAAGTACGTCTTCAGACAGAATTTTAAGAGTTGGACTAGATGTCGCCGCTCCACTGACTCGTCCGTTTCGTCATACTGCCCATCGAGCAATTCACTGACCGTTTCGATGGCCAGGTCCTGAGGGATTAAAGCGAAGAGGGAGGTGATGTCAGATGACACCATGACCTCGTCTGCAGTGAGTCGCGTTCGCCTGAGCCGTTCCAGAAACCGAGTAGCCGAACAGATCGTTGTAGTTGCGCCTGAGGTGAGAGGCCTCAGGTATCGGAACAGCCATTTAGCCAGATTCAATCTTGGCGCGTCGCCCAGTGACACGATTGCTCGAAGGGGGACATCGACCTTGTACACTTTGGGTAGTCCGTAGAACCTTGGTGCGGCTGCATCTGTTGGTTTAACGGCCGGTCGTACCGGCTTGCTTATTACTTTGTTCGTTTGCATTTCAGCGAGCGTTTTGTCCAACTGCGTCAGCAGCTTCCTCATCGGCTCATCATCACATCGGAGGTAGGCATGTCGATCATCCAGCAGGTTGTTGGCTTTCTGAATGCAGTCTGTCTTGTCCAAGACAACTGTAGAAAGCCCTTTGTCTGCTGGCAGTATCAACGCGAATGCGGGCGATGGCCATCAACGTTCAAGCGCCGCCCCCCAACGAGAGACGGGCAGATTGACAGCAGTCACTCTCCCTCCCGCTCTGCCCCGGCGACTACATAGACGATCGCTGTGCGTGTGCGAGCAGTTAGCTCCAAAGCCGAATAAGAACTCCCTCCGTGTAAACACGACTTTCATCCATCCCTCCGTGCAGATACTGTGTGACGCCGTGCGATACTCACCTCCGACGATGAAAGCTTGTATGTTTTTAAAACTTCAGGACAATACAATCATAGTTCCCGAGATCGCCTCTTCTTCTCATTTATGTCGAGGGACTCGAATGTTCGCTTCTTTTAGTATTCTATATACATAGTTAGAATAAAACGGCGGGCAGTGCATCCCATGAAACGCAAGTCGAAACTCTAAAGTGTGCTTTCGTTTAGAAAGGACAACTTTAGGCAGTGTTGTAGTACTGAATATCATGCAGCTTAATCCGATAAATATTTCGGTCTCATCCGTGTGCTTGTTTTCGCAGGCACTTAATCTGGCCATCTCCAAAAAGCACACTGGACAGTAACGGCTACTTTGGTCGTGTGTCCTTTTTATTGACATTCGATGCCATTACAGATCCGAATACATTTCTTAGCAGGCATGGCAAAAAAAGTCTTGCAATTTTCCCCCTGACTATCACAGCCGTGAACAAGCCCACGTAGGTGTAAGGAAATAAGAATGACAGTCGTACGGCCTACGCGAGCACAAGAATTTCGGATGTTGACTCAGTCTGCGAGGACACATGTGCAGTCCAGGCAAAGATATGTACAAGTGGGTAAGTTTTGGCTGTGAAGGCATATTTAAATTCCATTGATTTTTCCATTGGTTTGGATCGTTGCGCCAGGATTTCCTCAACTGAACTGTGCATGTCATAATTACCAAACAGGAGCAAAAGGTCAGTGTGTGACTGGGCTCACATGCAATCAGAATTATCCTTCTTCGCACACAGGATGCCTTCGGAAACCATGCGCTTGCAATAGCCATGTTGAAGGCACAGTTTTCTCACTTAATCTCACTTAGTCATGTGAATAATATCTGGGTAGGCTTATCTTAGAGACATGTACCACTTGTTCACTCAGATTTCAATAGCTCACAGGCTGACCTTAGTAGATGGTGGTTGTCTGTACACGTACAATATAAACGTACATATGGCGTGATTGACCTTGGTAAGAGATTACACGTATATGGATTTAGAAAACTGCAATGACCTGAAGTCCAATTTGCTTTTGTTCATGTAGAACGGCCTTTTATTCATGCATTTAAGGAAGTAAAATACTGCACCCATTATATCATAACGGGGAATTCCTTTAATTGGTTTATCCTGTCTGTAAAGTAATACACATACGACCGCCAGTACAGTTGTTATGGCTTATTAGTCACAACCTAACCAAAGAGTAGACATACCAGTTGCAATGAGCCCTATGAAGAGACACACGCGAATAAATTACAAGCCAACACGGGTTGAAAAATATGCTAAAGTAAATAAGCGTTGCAACCTTTTCTGGTCAGCTGGTCCGTGTATGGACCTGGGCGACAGAATGGCCGTGGATGAACTTCCGTGCTGCATTAGTTAGGGGGAAAGGAAGGAAAGAGACGAACGAATGGTTCGTCCACAAACAAATTAACCACATAGAATTAAGGGCTTTCTACTAACTGACCATTAATTGGAAAATACCTGTGTGGATGAAAAAGTATCTTGAAAGTATTACAGACAGTTGACGTCAAAAAAGACTTCATTACCGCATCGAGAAGCGTTTAAGTATCACTTCGACATGGAAAGATAGTCTTTGTAAATTGCAGTGTTTAGGGGTACACAAACTACCCTGAACCGTGTTCCGACAGAAAGAGTGGTGATTGTGACAAAAATCGCTCCCGATAACATAACAGATGAGAAAATATATCGTATCGTAGTTCATAACTGTTTCTAACGAACTAATCATTTAAGACTTCGGCATGACTGGTTAAACATGGGCGAAGACGAAACAATCTCTAGCGGTTTTTCCCAATATTAAAGAAACCCAACTTGGTATTTTCACGCAAGATTTGTCAAGACCGAAAGTTTTTTCGCTCAATCAATAAAGAAATTCTTATCGTCGTTTTTAGAAGCTCACCAGTCCATTCGGTGTTTTTGTGCATTGACTTACGTTCCTTGATGTTGTTGACTAAAAGTCCCTAAATACTTAAGGCGGATTTTGAACTGCAGACAAGCACTATCACTTTGAATGATCGCCTTTGAAATAATACAAAACGACGCTAAATTATATGAGAACATGAAAACTATGAAGAAGTCCAGTTTGGTTAACGTACATTTACGACTATTCCTCGTCGTTGGCTGTTATCACTTTTGATGTCCGATCGCAATTTATGTTGTACATGATTTATCATATGAGAAGAGCTAGCTCGGGTTACGCTATGACAAATCAATTCCGGTAGGTGTACCTATCGGCTGCAATAATGAGGCCGCTGTCAGAAACCTTTCAAGTGGCATTTGAGGTTGTATATCCTAAATGAAAGCTGTCGCAGCCCTCCGGAAAACATCCGGCTCAGTATATGTTGCTTGTTTTGTCTGCACATTGTGAGCCAGAGGTAAGAGAGGAGTACAAACACGTTTCTCACCAAATTTGCATATCGAACAAATCTGCCTGCATTTCCTCAATAACTTTATTACAGTGCTCACCTATTCATAATTTATGCGAAAACAACTTTTAACTCATTGACAACAAAACGAAGTATTTGACAACATTCGTTATTCCCCGTAAAACACACGGAAACACCGTAGAATTCTACTGAACTACATGGTTATTCAAACTCAGATCTCCTATCCGGTAATACTTATACAGGTTGTATGAGACGGCACATAAACTATTAACTCTTCAAGAATATTGCATGAGCAGAGCGACCGTAATAGAGAGAAAACGTAACATTAACTCTTCCAACACAGGTTGAAGAAAGGGTATGCCTTTATTTCAACGATAATATTGAGCTAGATGGGGGTCGGAGGCTTACATATTGTCTCATATCTCGTATCACTTTCGATAATGCAAATTCCTAGTCCGTCAGATGACCACTGTTTAAATTATGACACGAGAACTCGACGCAAGGTGACAATCGAGCTTAGATGCAAGCCATCTTGTCGTTGAATGACAAACGACTCCAGTTAGCCATGTGTTAGAATTTCTACGACATCCGTAAAGTTGCTCACCATCAGCCAGTTGACAGACTCGGACAGTCGAATGGAGTACTAGTGAGCGAGATCGACATTGGGGAATCAATTCCCACGACAAATCAAAGCATTCACCACTATAAGGACTCGGGCGTCCTTGTATCTACCACGGCGCGCTTAAAGAAATGGCTTGGAGGGGTTTTAACGGGCGGGATAATTTGGTTCTTGTTCGCAAATAATGTGCGTGGAGCGGCTGACTAGAGGACTGACAGTCGGGCTCCGTGACGTCCTTAGAAGTGGACGACACAATCGTTAGAACGGGAACTTTATTAGCCGGACGTTCCGGATCCCCAATCGAACTCGTCATCAGAAATGGTCGCAGAAAACGGCAACAGGGGCGCAGTAGCTATAGGACGTATTT